TCTGTTCAGTGGGGATCACAATGTACTAACCTTGCAGGGTGTCAGTCAGTTACCATGTGTACAAATCTTTTGTAAATTGACATCAGTTTTCTTTAAGGACATTGTGGGTGTATTTTGCCTGAAAGGCACTAGCTGTAGGTGTCCTTTCCCAGCAGAGGTGACCTCAGTCCCTTCTGATAGGATTAACTACCCAGGAATTTCAGGGTGGTGAATCCAGAGCCCTCAGAGTTGGACACTGTGAAAATCATTTTATGGTGTCTACATTGCCCTTTATTCAGCTGTTTCATATTAAATTGTAATCAGGGTTCAGAGTAAGAGAGTCTAACCTTGTGGTCCATGATCAAAACCAGTGAAATTAAATATGAGTGAAGTCCAGGAAAAGCCAAAGGAAGCTGAGTTGCATTCCACTCAGAGGATTTGAATATATTTAAAGCGTTCTCCCTATTCTTGAACCACATTGGCATCACAGGCCCAAGCTTCCTGTTTCCCATCAGTTAAGATGCAAGGGTCAGTTCAGACCCAAATCTGAATTGGGGTGGATGATTAGAATGATGCCTGTGGAGGGTTGTCACAGTAACGGCCCCAATGAGTCATGCCTTCCAGTATCTTTCTTGTGTGGAGCTCACCCCACTGACCCTGGGCCTGACCATGTGACTTGTTTTGGTCAGTGGGACTTTGGCACACATAACACAAGCAGAAGTTTGATTGATGCTCCTTCATTGGGATTTGCCAAAGCTGGGGCTCTCTCCCTTGAGGGCAAAAGACCAAGTAGAAGATGGTTACCCAGCTTCCTGCCAGCCCACGTGAGGCCACAGGGCCTTCCAGCTGTCCAAAGAAATAATGAATGGCTTTTGTATAATTTTCAAAATTGAGACAAATTTCACTTAATACCAAATTAACGGTTTTAAAGTCTACAATTCATCGGCACTTAGTATATTCACAATGTTGTATGACCATAACTATTTATATTGACAAACATTTTCAGCACCCCAAAAGCAAGCCCTGTACCCAGTAAGTAGCCACACCCTTCTTCCCCTCCTCCTAGCCCCTAGCAATCACCAGTCTGCTTTCTGCTACTCTGGAGACAGACTTTTAAAACTGGCTTCTTTCATTTAACATGATGTTTTCAGTGTTTTTCTACATTGGATCGTGTATCAAATACTTCATTCCTCTTTGCACTCAAGCAAATGCTTGTACACTGGGGTTTATTCCGACACTATCACAATAGCCAAGAAATGAGAACAACCCAAGTATATATCAGTTCATGAGTCAGTAAGCAAAATGTGGTATATCCATACAATGGAGTATTATGCAGTCATAAATTGCTGATATTTTAAGGCATTAGGTTTCAGATGGTTTGTCATTGTAGTAACAGAGGTTTAAAGGTGGTTGGAGCAATAGCAAAAGGTATTAATTTTTACCTGGTTTCTACATGCCATGCAATGTGTGAAGTATATTATGCTTTAAGTTTCACAAGAACCTTGTGATCCATGTACTAATATTGATCCCATTTTAACAAATAGGAAAACAGAGAGATTAAATTGTTTGCCCAGGTTAACCCAGATGGTTCCATTCCAGGGCTCATGCCTTAGGCACTCACTGTATACAATGCAGCCCTAAAGACAGGGTCTAGTCTAGAAGATCTGAGGGTACAAGCATGTGGTTTTGCTATGAAAGAGACATCCTCAGTTTTTTTTATAAAGTTCATGATTAATATCACTGGTTGATGTGATTGACAGAAAGTCAATAGTGGCTAAAATCTGTACAACGTAAAATTTTGATCTGTGAAGTCTGAATTAGGAACATTGAATTTTGCAGGAAAAAATGTCAAATAAAATAAGTGGTCAAGACGAAAAGTTATAACCATATTTTTTTCTTTCTTTAAAATTGGTGAGTATTATGGTTATACAAATGGTGGGATTCATTATGTCACATTCATATATGCACACTCATAATTTGTTTCATCTCAGTCCACAGTACCTTCCCTTTCCCTTCCCACCTCTCCCCTCTGATCTTTTTGCTTTACTGATCTCCCTTCTATTATTATTATTATTATTATTATTAGTTTAGTTAGTACATTATAATTATGTACATAAGCAGGATTCATTGATATATTCATAAATGGATATAGCTTAATTTTCAACCATAATGTTTAATGTAAAGAAAACAAATGATGGGTCAAAGCCTTATGCAAAATTTGCCTGGGGAAGAAATTAATCCCCATTGAAAATAACTTCTGTGAAATACAATATGAACTGAAAATTGAAAGTATTGGAAAGGATTTAACTGTACTGTTTTAAAAAAATTGTTTAAGGAATTAAATTGATATGGAGTTTTCTCCAAAAAATTCTGTCAGTACAAAAATATACCCATTGAATCAAAGTGTGAAATATGATATATCAAGAACTATGTAATGTTTTGAACAACCAACAATAAAAAAATTAAAAAACAAACAAACAAACAAACAAAAAACAAAAATATACCCATGATGATGTAACTATGGCTTAAAAGGTATTACGCTTAGGAGTGCAAATATCCCTAGGACAGAACATCTTTTGGGATCTAGACATCTTTTATTGTCCATAAAGATCCTTTGAGGAAGGTAAAAGCTATCTCAATGTGAGCATGAAATACCAAAATCAGATTTCTATGATCCTGGACCTTTGGAGAGTAAGTGCATTGGATGCACAGTCAGATCCCCAGACACTGGGATTGACTTTGAAGATAAAATGAGGCAGTCAAGGCTGTCGTCAGGAGTCAGGAATTCACCCCCATGTGGGGGAGAGTCAAGTTTTGTGTCCCTCCTGAGACACACATTCTGTGGCAGCATAGAAAATGGAAAAGCTGAATGTTGAGGAAACTTGATGGAAAGTCTCCATAACGGGGAGCTTAATCCTTAAGAGAAGGATGGACTTTTCGAGGGTGTGGTCATCTTAGGTAATACAGTGCATCAGAAATGGGAACCCAGTAGCAACATCTGCCTAGTAGCCAGGATACAGGAACAGGGCTTCTTGAGATCCTGAGGAAGGGGATTTGGGACTGGCTGAGGTGTTGTTGGGGATGAGGGGACAAGTACAGGGTTGTTTATTCATTGATTGTCTAGGACCTATAAATATTTCAGGAATTGTAAAAATATTGATTATCTTTTGATACATAAAGAAAACTTCAAAGCCCAAATTAATAATTAAAAATTTAAAAAGTTATGACATTTAATCAACGAATAATGGATGATGTATAGGATAGATGTCATACAGTTATATGTAAATATTAAAATTTGTATCATAAAACAATTCTTAAATTCAAAACTTGTGAAAATTAAACATCCTTTCAAAATTTATAGCAAAACAATATAGAACAATATATAATTAGATAAATATATATATATATATATATATATATATATATATATATATATATGAACTTCTATCTGTCCATCTACCTAGTATCTATAAATGAAGACTGGGTGTGTTTGAATGTGGTTGACACCATGTAGAAATTGTCTAAGGCCTATAAAGTTCTCCATGTGACAGGAAGTGGGGATGGGGCACATGATTGAAAGGTGAGATAAAGAAAATTAGTGTATTAAACAAATTGTGGCTCCAGAGCCAGTGGCCTTGTTCATTAATCACAGATCTTGATTTTTCTTGAGGCTGGTGTGGTATAGGAAATAAGGACTGTGTATTATAAGAATTTGAGTATAAAATATACTAAAGAGTACTCAGAAAGAACAGACCCAAGTTTTAAGATGTAAAATGTAGATTACCATTCAGTAACACACTAGATACTAAATGGAGTTAAAAATATAATTCCCAAACCACATCCTGGGTCTGTGTGGGAATGAAGTTCTCTGGAGTTGTGCAACATGGTGGTCCTCCCACAACCCTAAGAATCACAGAAGCATAGAAAGCAAGATAGAAGCATAGTGAATGTCCATCCTTCATCTCATTCAAGAGGATCCTACTCAAGATGTATGGTGTGTGGGGTCATCACAGGGAGAAGGAAAGAGATAACTTTTGGAGAGAGAAAACCCACAGGCTGAGCCCTTTGTGACCTGTTTGTCCTGCGTGAGGCCAGAGCCTGGGGAATGCCACAGCTCTCCCTGTTTCTAGGGTTGAACAGGTCTGGACAGCTGGCCATGGGCTGAGCAGACAGACTGAAGTTCAGGGAGCACTCATTTGTTAGGAATCCCTGAAGCCCAGTCTGTCACTAGCCATTACTTATGTCCTAGAAACTTTCTTTACAGGGGACTTCTCTGTTCCAACAAACACATCCATAAACTTAATGCCTTTGTTTTTTAAGGGGAAAGAGTGTAAGAGCTGTTGCAGTAGATCCTCGCTCTAAGCACTGTGCCCTGCTACTGTTCATCTTGTTTTATGGTGGCAGGTTGGAGAAAACAATTGACTAGGGCAGCTTCACTTTGGAGAGAACTTGAAAGTTCTCCTGATTCCTAGGCTCAGTGCTCATTCCTCTGACACAAGAACCTCTCCCCTGGATGCTTTGGAAGCCAAATGGATAAAGGGACTACTTCTGTAGTAGATGCGGAGAAGTGCATCCTTCACAAACACTACTGTTGCCAAATTCAAGGAGACTGATATGCAAAACATTTGGCCAGTGTTTGTTTGTGTGTGTGTGTGTGTGTGTGTGTGTGTTAAATGGAATAATCTTGCAGTCACTGTAGGGCATTGGTGGGAGTTTGAATAAAAGTTTTTATCCTCTTTGTCTTGTACCAGGTGACCGTTGCTGTCCATTCTAACCCTACCCACCTCTCTGCCACTGCTCCTCTTGAATTTAGAACCTTAGAATATCATGTCTGAGAAGAGTATGGAAATTTGCTTTATCTGACCCCCTTCTTTTTTTTCCTCCTGGGGAAACAAGTCCCAAAAGGATGAATAAAATAGCCACTAATTACTCAGCTCAGAATTACAGCTTGGCTAAGTTTGGCCTACCGGGGACAGAGCTGTTTCCTCTGGGGCTCCTAACTTGTGTTCCTTGCTTTTCAGTTGGAGAAAGTGCGCCAATGACCCTCTAATGACACTCCTGGCTGAACACCGTACTCCAATTCGAAAATGAGCTGCTCTCCAACCTCATAGGTACCTAACGACTAGGACCAAGCTCATCTGGACAAACAACCCTTACTCTGTGGACTGAGCATGATCCTGAAAGTTACATATGTACAAAAAATTTGATAATTATATTTAGCTGCACAAGGATAGTTGGAAAATATAAGGAAATTAAAGGAATCCTTTTTTGAGAAGAGTTGTCATTTCTTAATCTTTTGCCTCATGGTAAATTCAGATTTTCACAAAGAATGACAAACTGTATGTTTGAGTACCATATGAAACCTTGAATCAGGTAACCCGTGTCTTTATTTTCTCATGTATAACATCCCCAACCAGACAATCAGGTTCCGTTGCTTTGTGCTGGAATTACTGGTAGTATCCATCCTGCCTGTGGCCTTTTGCTGATGCTAATCAGAAGGCTCCTGCCTTGAAACTTTGAATATAGATGAGGAGAATGTATGATAGGGCCTGGAAAGTAGTTTCACTGTAGAGAAGCTATTCACAGTTACAAGAAGCCCAAGATCATTGGAGGATGTGCCCATCAAATTCTTTTGAATTTGTGTATTGAGCACCTACTGTGTAACAGGGGCTATACTGTGTCTAGGGAGTAGAAAGCCCAGTAACTAGTCCCTGCCCTCAAGTAGTAGGGAAGAGCAGAGGGCCCCTCAGCAAGAGGGGGCCCCTGTCAGAGCCTGCTTGAAGACCATCTGCCATCTTGTGACTCGGTTCGGTTATTGAGGGTAGAGTTATTTTCCAACCAGTTCCTTTTGCTGTACTCTAGTGGTTCCAGCAGGATCGATCAAACACATCCTGAAGAGTAGAGGAGGCAAGAATGATATGGAAGAAAGAAATAGAAATACAGGGGGTGTTGAAGCTGGGTCTTGTGATGTTGAATCCAGAGACTTCTCTGACGGGGTTCCCAGGAAGCTTTCACTCTGCAGAGAAACAGCTTTCTTCCAGCACTTGAAGATGCAAGTTCTGAAGGTGAGCTCGGGTCTTCATATTCCTACCTTTGGCTCCCACAGTGCCAGTAACCATGACGGGTTGCACCTGGCCATGGCAACAGTCTGATTTTTCAGAAAAGCCAATCTGGAAAGCTTACCATGCTTAAAAAGAGCATTGAGAGATAAGCAGCCTTCAGGATGCCATTTCCAAAAATCCATCTCTAACGAGGCGTAGCTAACAAAATGTGTATGGTGATTATTTATTCTGCCAGATAGTCCCCAAGGTGATAGAATCAAGTTGCATGTGAAATTTGCTTTGACAAATCATCCTTGATTATGTAAGCCCTCTGCTGTGCTTTGGACTGGGGAGATACCACATTGACTGAAGCTTCTGGTCACCTCTTCCTGCAAATGACAGGATATAGATTGAAGTCCTCATCAGGCTTTCAGTCATTCACCAATTCTGGAACTGCAGTCAGGAAACCATCGGCTGTGTAGTGGGGAGTCAGGAGCCTGCAAGGTACAGGGCAAAACGCTGTTGCTTCCCTGAGGAGAAACTGAATGCTGCTTCCATGGGTGACATCCAGGGAGGCACCGAAGTCCAGGTGCTGGGGGTAGTGACTCCAGGGTCTCAGAGAACCCTGTCAGATCAGGACTTTGTCTCTTAGCAGGTGCCCCTGTCTCCCTGGTTTCAAAAAGTAATAAATTGTACCTGCTCTGGAAATTCTTGAACATCAGACTGCTCATAGTTTATGTGACATATCTGTTGATGATTAGAAAGCAACAAGTTAGGACTTAATGGTTCAGCCTTGTAGCATGGAGATGCATCAACATTTTTCCAGGTCAGAGAGCCTGGGGCATGTGGGTAGTTGACTTTGATTCAAGATAGTAAAGTTCATAAATGTCATCCAATCTGTGCCTGTTAGGATTAGGTCCAGCTGCACAATGGCTTAGGTAACAGAGAGGTTTATTTTCTCTCATATAAAATAAATCGTTTTTTTTTTTAAGAGGAAAACTTGGTTTACTTTGATTATATAGAATTTGCCCAAGTACTCTCTTTTATGGGAACCACTTACAATTTGTGCCCACTCTTGTGCCCAATCGTGCCCATTTACATTATTAAATATCTGTCAGCTTTCTGTGGCTCTGAATCACCATGCATGCTGAATCTTCATCATGTGCACCACTTGGTCAAAGTCAAACAGTGACTATTTTTAATAATTAGAGGGTAATCTGGGAATTTGTTCTTGCTGATATTTGTGACCAAGAAAAGACCAACTTTAAAAAAATATAAACACACTCCTGGCTGGATGGCTATTTACAGCCACCACCACAAAAAGCAGAAAAGAACACGTGCTGGGAAGATGTGGAAAAATCAGAACCCTTGTGCTTTGCTCGTGGGAATGTACCACCACTATGGAAATGGAATCTCAAAAAGTTAAACGTGAAGCACCATGCAATCCAGCTACTCTACTTTAGCATATGTACCCCAAAGAATCAAAAGTAGGGACTGAAACAGATACTTGTACACCAGTGTCCTTAGCAGCATTAGTCACAATCACCAAAGGTGGAAGCAACCCAAGGGTATCAAAAGATAAGTGGGTCAGCAAAATGTGAAATACTCATATAGTGGCATGTTATTTAGCCTGAAAAAGGAAATTCTGAAATATCCTACAACATGGATGAACCTTGTAGACATTCTGTTAAGTGAAATAATGGACAAATATTGTATGATTCCATCTTACGAAAGAGACCTAGAAAAGTCGATTCATAGAGGCAGAAAGGAAAACAATGGGCGGAGTCAAGGGGCTTATTGGGAATTTAATGGGTGTGGAATTTCTGTCTGGGATGATTGAAAAGGGTGATTCTAAAGGATGATTCTAAAGGGATGGTGGTAATGGTTGCATAAATTGTGAATGTATTTTTTAAATTTTAATTTGTTATATATGACAACACTGATTCCTAGATAAGTTCAGAGCTCATCTATAGGTCTCTGGCTTCCATGGCCCAAGATGGTTTCTGGAGTACCAGCCATTACATCTATGTTCTAAGCAGAAGAATGAAGGAAGTAGGACAAAAATAATACCACCTGATGGAATCCATTTTATTTAAAGGAGTCCCACCAGATAATTTAATTATATTGGTAAAATCTGAGTTGAAAGGGAAGCTGAGATATGTATTATTTTAGTGTACTTTGCTGCTCAGAATATATTGGGCAGACAACAGACAGGCTCTGTCATCTCTCTTAGGGGCAGCCTCTGAAGCTTAGGTAGAAAGAATATTGCTTTGGAACCTGGTTATAAGTGTATTTGAATTCTGTCTCGATTGCTTTTTTAGCTGTGTGACAATAGGCAGTGTATTTTTATTTTCTGGACCAGTTTCTTTAGCTATAAAGATGACAATAATAACCTACCTCATGGGGCAGTTAGAAGGATTAGATGAGACAGCTCATGTGAAGTGCTCAGCACAGAGCCTGACATTTGAACAGTAGGCGTTCAATAAATGTTAGTGCCCCTTCTTTTTTCCTATTAGAATGTACTATTTACCCACATGGAGGCTTTGACCACCAGCTCCTCATCTGTAGCCCATAGTGCAGATTCCCCGATATAAAGTGCTTAAGAAAATGATTAATTGTAGTTTTAATAATTCCAGCAACAACAAAAGCTAGCAGGGATCATGTGCTGAGCCCCCTCTGCACCAGGCACTGTGCTAGGTTTTGACATAAATGATCTACTTTAACTGGTGCTGGATCAGAGACCCTTCATGCTCTGCCCAGATTCTTGGGTCCCTTACCATGACAACACTCCCAATGGCTCACACCTGTGACCCTGCCTGAGGGCTCCTGGAGTCTCTGCCCACCATGAAGAGAGCCAGAGTTCCTGGGCCAACCTCATGAGTGACAAGTGCAGGATTTTTACAGTCCAGCTCCCTTGCTTCAGTTGGGACCAACTGGGGAGTAACTGATCTTTCAGAATGCCCTGTGGTATGAGGCTGGGAACCTGCCTATTACTTGGCTGTACCTCCTTCCTACTTGCCCTGCTAATTCTCTTAGTGGGAGCATAACCAAGATTAATTGAGTCCATATGAATCCGTCTCTTAGGGGTTGCTTCTGTGAGTCTAACCTAAGACACACGTACCCCAAGTCCCATGAGGTAGATCTATTATAGTAAATCCTTCCCCATTTTACAGAAGGGAAAATTTGATGCTTAGACAGTGGGAGACACTTACTTACCTGCAATCACACAACAAGTAAGATGGCAGAATTATGATTCAAACCCAGGTCTGCCTGGAAGCACCCTGAGATCTTTTAGCTGCATATTTTCTCTGAATGGTGTGGTCCAGGACCTGGAGGGACAAAGTACCAACACTGGCAGAGGGGAGAGGACAGTTGGAGCCATTGGATAGGATGAGGGTGAGCACACGGCCATCATGATGGGTTACAGGATGTGGAGATCAAGGAGGTATATGTCCGGCATATCAATTTCTGCCAGCTTCTCTCCAGCACAGTCTGCACCTGGCCTGGGATACCGGCATCAGCCCTGGCCCCTAAATTGGGCTTTCTCCTATCTGCATTGTTTCCAAGCTTCCTGGGCCTTCTCATTTCCAAAAGGCTTGGAAGCACATTTGTTTCCCTCTCCTGGGCTTGACAAGGCTGTCAACACCATTTTCATAGAAGGAGACTGGGAAATAATAAAATTAGCAATAATAATTCAATAATTATGAAAGGGCCTCATTATCTGAGAATGCTTGATATCAGAAAAAAATAAGCAACCACTAGAAAGTGAATCCACTTATAACATTAACCAAAAAAAGATCATGGTAAATAGTAAAAAAACAACAACAGACCAAACAAATAAACACAACACAAAAACACCAAAAAGCACATAAGGACAACAAACAATAGGTTTGTTTGAGTTTTGCTTAGAAAAATCATACTAAAAACTATAAAAATATGTTTTATGTAATGTTGAGCAAAACTTAGGTCATAAATATCAACTGTCAGCAGATTCTTAAAGAATGAATAAAACTGTTTTTTTTTTTTTAATGTGTGAAAAATTCCCCCCAAAATTATACGATTGCCTGGTACTAAATTCTTCACATTTAATTTTTGTAACACAATCCAAATAGGATCAATTTTTTTTTTTACAAAACACTTGAGTTTATATCATTTCTTCCCCCAAAGCCTTGCCATTGAAGTAATTTTCTTGGAAGCATCT